CAGCACCCAACCCCACTCCCATCAAATAATAAATCTACTGAAGAATGAATGCAAAACCTGTATCGTTTGCTAATTCACGAGCTGAGCTCTGATTGGCTCGCTGATCCCTAAGGATTTTGGTGACGTCATATATTAGCATAGAACTTCACCGAATAGACTATCCCAATTAGATAGTAGATATCTATAAGTGTCTTCATAGTACGATGGTCTAAGAGGGTGGCTAAAGGTATGCTCTAGTGGGCGGCTACCCCCTCACTCCCTGGCCTTTTGGTTAAGACTAATGTTTTTCTTGTCCAAAATACTGACGTTACGTTTTCAGAACTTTTATCGCTAGCCGCTCAATCATACCTTAAAATTTCACCTTGCTTGTCGATAAAACCTGACACATTTCCAGAAAATCACATTGTAACTTTGGAGTGAGGTAAACGTTCCTTGCGCAATTTCTTTGTATATACCTTTGCAGATCATGGGAATGCTATTGGACTCGTGCAATCACTTTTTCCATTGATAAATTTCCTATTCTTCGATTCAGTATACGTCACAGCGGCCATCTTGGATGAACTTCAACAAAGCATTTCTCATTAGTATCTATTGTTTAKTCCTCCAACATGGCCRCCCGGMCCTCCCYAACACACAAGGCATGATTTTCACTTKTGATAAATTCTTTTTCTAGCGTACCGATTTTTATATCTCTCATTTGTTCAATTATAAAATTTCGGTATGATATATCAATATAAATAGGCAGTCGAAGACTGCATGTGACTCAGGCCAAAAGATTCATTTTACTTCGAGTTTAATGGGTTACAAAATGGCAATTCTAAATTGAATTGCTTTCCTTGGAAGTGGCTTGACCACAACACGGACCTGACAAAGTCACTCTGAAACCATAAAAACTCCGTTTGAACGGTGATAGAAAGATCCACAACGCATTTCACTCTTGGAATGCACAAGATCTCATTATAGTCTGTTATAGTCCAGGAATTTTGTTCAGTATTTTTTAAAAAAAATGTCTTTAGTTAATTAAAGCTAATTAAAGATACTTTACTGTATTTAGGTTCAGGTATTCTTCCTTTTGACCAAATTTCGTTGACAATTCAAAGCTTCATCACCGCTCGGCATAGTGTACAATCGACGTGGCACTTAGGATTTTTCTTGGAAGGTCTGTCCAGAGACGAAAAAAATTATAAGTGCCACGTCGATTGTATACTATGTCGAGCGGTGATGAAGCTTTTAATTGTCAACGAAATTTGGTCAAAAGGGAGAATACCTGAACCTAAATACAGCAAAGTGTCTTTGATTAGACTAGATTTATTTTAGTACATTATTTTGACTCCCGGACATCTAATTTTTCGCGCATCCAGACTATGTCGCTAAGTGATATCATGGATAATAAAAGCATGGTGATAYCATATCTAATACGTTTTTAATTCAAATTGTTGACCTCTCAGGCCAAGAAAATAAATACTTTTAAAAAGATGACTATAAAATAATCAAAGTCGCCTTTTTGTTATTGATAAACAAAGTTTCTTTTTGTTCTAATTTGAAATCTTTGCCCAAACAAGACTCCAGACTGTCTAGCGCTAGAATTCTGTTCCGTAAGCATACTACTCGAAGCTCCATGCGATCCGCACATGCGCSTACTTCTGATGGCWAGACTGATGCATTCCGATGAGATCACAGATACCACATTTGTAAACAAATAGTTTATCACATAAAAGCGCAAGTAGAAACTGATATTTAGTAACGATATATTCGTACATCTATACGTTTGAGCTTCCGGTCATGTAATAACACAGCCAAACCAATAGTTAACTATTAAATTCTTAACTTCCGGTGGTCCAAACGCGACATACATAGATAGATAGATTGGCTAAAAGGTAAAACTTAAGTCGACCTAGCCTTCGGCTAGTCCGACTAAAAAGCAAACGATTCACGACTAAAATTCAAGTCCAGTCAGGGTCGCACATTCTGTTGTCTTATTCGATCTTTGTGTTTCCGAGCTCTCGCAGTCCTGGGTACAAGCCAGTCAACAGCTAGCTGCAACTAGAGTTGGTGCAAAACTGAGAAGAAACATGCGCTCCACAATTCAGTGCATTACGTAGTTTATACCTGCCTTCAACAAGCTTAATGAAATTCAATAAGATTTTCATAATTTTTTTTATTCCTGTCAGCAATAAAAGTACAATTTACAGATTTTTAAAACAATCTCTAACAGAGATTTTATGGATTTACATCTATTTGAAAATTTAGAGTTAAGAGTCATATCACTTGGTGAAAATATAATTTCAGAGATATATTTTAATCGGCACTACTGAATGCTAAATCCCTAATAGACAACGGGCAGCGACGCCATTCTCAGGCAGCCCAAGCTAAGCATTTGTCTTATGACATTTTTGATAGAAAAATGTTTTTTTTTTGGTGGTACGGTTTTAGCTCTAAATTAAGGCGTAATTCGCCGTTTTTCTTGATATCTCCCCATCTATACTTATATCGCTGGGGGATAATGAACTAGTCAAATGCTTAGCTTAGGCTGCCTGTGCACCACTTTCATGATATTCGCTCTTGTAAGAAATCTTTCCATTTCTCACAACTAGTTTTTTGGTGGGTAACTTTTAAAGGATACAAAAAATCAGAGAAACACATTTCCCATCATCCTTTACTTCTTAAAATGGCGCAGCTGCTAATTGCCTTCATGGTAAAATGAACGAGCTGAACAAACACATTAAGTGACCAAATGTCCCAAACAGGGACCGTTTACATTGGTAGGTTCCCCTACTAATAATGCTTTACTAACAGACAATTTCTGGGTCACACTGKCGCATTCCGAAAACTCGGGCAAAGTTCCGAAGCTCGCTTCTACTATTGTCCGTGAATTCCTCGCTTTCATGTGAGCGCCATCGATAATTTTGGAAAACGCCCGCGCATCTCAGAATTCATCTAAGGGCATATGATCACGTGATCTGTTAGTTCATGTCGCCCATGGTCCAGTTGTTTAAAGCCCGATTAGCATTAATCCAGGGTTAAATACATACATTTTTTAAGATTTAAACCACGATTAGCGCTTACTCGAGCTTTGAACATCCAGGCTCGGTTTACATTCGCGATTTTTTTCAAACATTTATTGTCATTTAAACACACTGAAAAAAAATCGCCATTGCAAACCTATCATTAAAATATCTAATTCCTATTCATTTTTTTTYGTTTTTATATTTTTTCTTCCTATTCGTCATGCAAAGTACATTCCACGTAGAATTTCTGGATGAACTTGAACTGCTTTTGCTAGTGTTTCCGGTGTCTTCGAATCATCGCCGGTGCTGTTATTTGAACCACTATCATTTCTGTCAAAACAAACAAACAATGGATTTATTGATATTGCATAGAGTGCAAGTCACATAAGCATGAAACAATTCTTAACTATGTAGTGCTAAATAAGAATTAGTTATCAACTAACTAAGAATTGAGAACAATGGTACAAAGGAATTTAAATAATTGGCATTGTGTTTATGCTTTGTTGAATTCTTAGTTAGTTGATAACTAAATCTTATTTAGCAATACATATTAAGAATTGTTTCATGCTTATGTGACGTGCACTCTATTGTCGTCTAACTTCAAGCAATTCATTCTCACTCCACATCCATTTTCAGCAGTGGACTGGGAATGAGTTTGCAAGAGAGGCTTAGGCTGAAGAATCCTCGCGTACGAACCTCTACTGCAAGTTATTTCCAGACCAAAACCGAAAATATGAATACGACCTATACCATTATGAAACTAACAAAGTTCCATGAAAGCAATAAATGAGGGTTTCCCCAGTAGATTTTCCGCCAAGGAGTACCAAGAAGAGTCTGGGTACTCATAAAAACCGAGAGTGGCCTGGACACCTACCCTTCTTTTTCTCTTTCCATCATATGAAAGCGAGCTCTAAAAGCCACCAAATGGGCGTAGTACGCAGGCGCGGGAATAGAAACGGATCTTGTACAGCGGACATACGTATGGCAGAGCTGGTAGGTCAAGGCTTGGAGTTCATCAGCAGTAAATCGGTTATCGTCCCACAGGACGTGGTAATGAGATGGACGGCTTGTGCCCTGAAATCATAAAATGAAAGGATTCCCATATTAGTTGGCATACATGGTTGACTGATCAAAAGCATACATCTACGAATCGAAATGACATGATCCGATCGGTACAGCAGTACAAAATTCAGGCCTTGATACAAAAGACCACATTAACTTACTCAACTGAAAACTAATGGCGTTTTTCAGTCAGAACAGATTGTCCAGACCTAATAACAATTCCAGGAAATCAATTCCTAATTTTCATCCACTACCGTAGTGTGGTGGAAAATTGGGTAAAACGGGAACCTCCATGGGATATTTGAAAAAAAAACATTATGACTTCTAAATGACATGGTCTGGCCGATCAGAAAACTCACTACCAACAAAGGGCGACAAAAAACGAAGGAGAAGTTTCTAAACTATGCCTACTACTGATCTCATTAGAACCGAAACTCCTGCTTTTCACATAAACAATAAGCCGAGAAGGAGAAGGAGGAGGAAACGGCGAAGGAAAAAGAAGGAAAGGTTTTCGTTTGTTACTATGCCTTCCCGCAACCTTTTCCGTTCATTCGTTTTTAAACGCGCGTCTTCTTCTCCGTCGCTTTATCCGCTTACTTCACTAGAGAAAACCAGGCTGTACGAATGGCTATCGTTAAAGTGTTTTTAAACGTGATTAATATTCACCTGTATTCCTGCGTGACTGCAGATATAGAAGTCAAACTCTGAAGGGTGAGTGATCCCGTGGTCAACTGTAGTTCCTGGTGGAATGTTGCCTCCACGGCCACACTGAAACGTACCAGTTGAATTTTATTTACATACACTGATGTACTGTTATATACAAGGAATGTACAACGACGCCATTTTGTACAGCAAAGCATGATGGGAAATGTAKTCTCCAAAATCTCGAGTGCCGGGTTGTTCAATGCCTGATTAGTGGTAATCCAGGGTTAACTCCATACGTCTTCGAAGAGTCAACCCAGGATTAGCGCTCACCGGGCTTTAAACAACCCGGCCCAGTTTTTTCTTTGTAGAAACAGTACAACTACATCTATTTTTGCAAAGAAAAAACGAAAACGGCATTTAAGTTATCGCTAAATCATCTAGTTCAAAAATGTTCAGCTTGGGTTACGCATTCCTTCCGGTTATAAGTGCTCAAATGAAAAATAGATAAAATAAGATGTGACATGGAAAGCTCACCATTACCCAACCTTACCCTATCTCTCTCTTCCTGGCAAAATAGTCTTGTGTGGTGACGTTTTTGCACGACCACAAAAGTAATTCCTGGCTGGTAGCCGACCTCTAAGCTAATACAGGCTTCTCTGATGGCTCTTAACTCGTGAATCAGAACCTGAAATAGGGGAAAAGGCGATGTTAATACCCAATGGAAAATCATTGCGTGACCGCATCTTTATATGAACAAGAGATTTGTCCTGATTTGCATACGACTTTAACTTCGATTTTCTCTTTAAAATGATATTTTATCTTGAAGTTTTTTTTGCGAAATATGCTTTAGCTTATGTTGAAATTCAGCTTCAGTTTCAGCTCAGGTCTCCCGCTCATGTTATTTAGAATTAAACATTATACAGTCAACCTCGGGCCAGTAATTTAGTGTCCGCAGTAGCGAGAGTCCATACTAAGTGAAGTTACYTTCAGGCATTTMTTTTTATTTTTCGCCGGGATTAAGTATTTCGTGTCCGTAATATCGAGGTGTCCGAAATAGCGGATGTCAGTAAGGCAAGAGTTGACTTACGTGGAAAAGACCTGAATTCAAACAGACTTTGCTTACTTGTTTAAACTGTCCTTCGCTGACCCCGTCCCGATAGAATATTATCCTATGCGGTTTATGCATGGTGCACTGGTAAAATTGACGAAGAAGTTCTTTGACCATAGCTGCCAACTCAGCGATAATTTCCTGTAACATTATTAAATAATAACAATGTGATTGCCCTCGGGAACAATTTAATCATACTCGGGAACGCAATGGTAATCTTGGTGATCGTTTCTTAGAAGATTACCCTCTGGTTTCCAAACATATTGCTCGGTATTATTACGGATATGACATAACTCATTGTTCCGATCTGTCAATCATATGTTGTTGCTCAGCCAATCAGATGCCGTAGAGYTCAGTCAAAAAAGGGCGGGAAAGCACGTGACGCGCGCGTCAACCAGAAGAACCAAAAAGAGCGGGAAAATGAAACGTCGTCTGTTCGGAACCAGACCTACCGAGTTTTCATATAGATTSCAAACCTGTTTGGGCTAACAAAGTCGACTAAGTTGTATAAAATAWGGGCGTAATGCCCTGGCATACCTGACGATGTGCCTGAACACGAACAGACGCATAGTAYCGACAGGGATGGGCATCCATACTGCCTACAACCTGAAAAACAGTTCAAAAATTACAAGACTTAATGGACTTCGCAAGATGAAACGGCACGAAACATGTCCATTTGTACTTAAGGTGTTTCGATCGTAATAAATAGAGTTTCCAACTACTCCAACTACGTCGAAAATTTCGATTCAATTGCACTCAAACTTTCACAGAAGTCACAGTGATTATCGATAATTCTTGTTGATAAATTAATTTGCCAAAAAGCGAAGCCATTTGGATTTACGATGCAAAATAAAAACACCTTCAATTTTCTTCAAAATTAATTTTCTCGAAACTCATCGCAGAGATTGTAATAAAATTTTCAGCATCATTTTTTAATAACATAATTGATATACTGACGAATTTTCAATAAAATCTTAACCTAAAATTTCGATTTGTTCGAATGTACATCATTTTGCTCAAACTCGAATCGAAATCATTTGCGACGTAATTGGAGTTTAAAAATACGCGCGAAACGCTATTTATTACGATCGAAACACCTTAACGAAGTATTTTGCAAACGACTAAAACTTTGCACTTCGAAAATGATTCGTTTCAAAAGTATATATAAACCAATACTTGCACTTTGTGAATTAATACAAAAGATAATCAGACTTYGTTTCGATTCGTTTCGCAAAGCTATGATTATAATGCCGCAATGAGAGAATGAAAGACTTACTGCCGCAATAGAAGGTCGCTTCTCGTCGCCAGCAGCAGGATGAGTTACATCAGCACCAAGGAATATCACAGGTTCACGGAAGACAGGAGGACTATGGGATAAAATGAAAGACACATTTAAGACAACAAAATTCTTAGAAGGGAAATGAATAGGAGGGAATAGAAGCAAAAAAGGGAGATGAAAAAAATAAGGCAAAAAGGGAAAGAAAGAAAAAGSAACTGAAAGAAAYGAAACAGACCAGTATAAAAATGAAAAGAACAGAGCGGAATGAGTAAAATGAAACAAAACATTTTATAACTTTGGAGAAACCTACGGCGTAGCAAAGCCAAGAAAAGACGAAGACAATGAAGACAATAAACAAGGAGTGTTCATGACTTTTTGTATACCAAAATGCATTGTCAAAAGCCAACAAAATTGCCAAAAAAGACCGAGTTTTGATCAAAATGCATGAGCTATAGTCAAGATCATTATATTTTAGTTTAAACTTACCGAACTTCAGGCGAGAGAATGTTGTTAATACCTCCAAGTTTGGCGTTAATTTTCAGACATAAATTGGAGATTGTTTGCGCAGAGATCTTAGCGACGTTTCTTTGTTGAATACATTGAGTTACCACGCCTAAATATGTATCTCCTACCTTTTTAACTTCCGCTGAAAAAAAAAGCAAACATTGGGCGAACGAATGATAATAAAATATTATAAAATATTATACAAATGATGTCCTAGTCTCTTTGCGCCGTTTCCGGTGTTACACTATACGACCAAATAAGGTAAAGAATAACACAATATCAAAATGGTGACAATCTCCATGTCTCCGTTGCAGTTCCGTATAAGAATCACGCTACATCTAATTTTGGAAAAAAYGTAACGGCATCTCAATCCGAACATATTTCCTGATATTTCCTGAAGCTAAAAAAAGGACGGAAAAAGTGAAATATGACTGCGTTTACCGTAAACTGGGGTCTTGCCGGGAAGAACGATAATAATAAGCTGTAGACCAGCATAGTTTGCTTTCAATTGTTTAAATAATGGCTCAACCTGTTAATTGAAAAAGAAATAATATTAGAATGACTTCGAAAAAAAGAAAACAAACAAAAATGATTGGTCAAGAAATCTCACTCATTTGTGACAGTTGACATTGTGTCAATAGACTTTTTCGCGTTTAAAGCGGGCAACATGTTTGCTGCAGACATCAAATGAACAAGAGTGCCAAGTAATATCGAAATTATTACTTTTTTTCATCATCAAAAATTATTTTCCTGACATTGCAAAAGCATAAACAAGCTCAAAGATGACAGCATTTTAGGTTATTGCCCGATTTTGTCTCGCTATGGTACAAAACCACAGCCTTCGATCCTCGCGCAACTTGTTTCCTGGCCGCAAAAGGGTTATTAATGATACGTATATACACCGTCAAAGGATAGGAAACTGCTTTATGACGTAACGATCGTTGCTCTTTCTGTGTTTCACTTCAGCAGAACAAGGACCAGCGTCCATAGCTATTTAGGTTTGTGGTCGTTGTTTCTGGCGTTTTTCGCCTTGTCTGAGCAATGGAAGCCGCTRGTCGCGCAACAAAAAACAGGCCATGAAAAAGGTAAAACGCTGATGTTAAACTTGAACATTTGAGGCTTTTTCATTGTATTTCGTACTTCTGAAATTTTAATCTGCCTCCTTCCCCCTTCAGTGAACCCCCCTGAGGTTGGGGCGCCGTGGTTTAAATGTTTGATATCTACAACTGCTACAAACCTCCTCTGGTTTTCGGGCAAATTTGCAAAAGCAAGGATGCGATCTGACGGGCATTCCTTGCTCGACACTAATTCTAATCAGCATGCTGGAAAACTTTCGTAGAGTTTCTTCGTTGCAATCGCGCGGATTCGCAAAACACACCATYGCCCAGGTTCGTATTTCTATCCCATGAAACATTTGCTTTCCTTGCATATTCCACACACCTTTGGTTAAAGGAAAGAGTAAATTTAGAGAATTTGGGGTGAAGAACAGACTGTTGTTAAAGTTAATAAAGACAACAGTAAGCAAACAACGAAGCAAGAAGATAAACAAGACGAAATGACACAGGGAAATAAATGTATAAATATAAACAACAGAAAAAACTAGGAAAATTGAAAACATTCGACAAAATAATGAGAGAAGGGAAAGAATTGACGAAACAAGCAAATACGTAACGAAAAGTGGAAAGAAATTTCATGATATATGCGGCAATAAAAGTGAAAGATGGAAGGAAAGAAATAAACAACTGGGAAACAAACATGCTATAAGCCAACAAGCGTACAAGGAAATGAAAATAWATATACCGGTAATAATTGACAAACATATCAAACATTGCAAACATACAAAATAAATTTTAAGTAGTAAACCAAACAAAGTGAAAAGGGACTTCTCCCGGAATTGCCTCCTTCTAAGCACTATAACTTTCTTTCATTTCTATATCGTGTTTATCATAGTGCCATGCGGTCTTTATATTCATATCTTTACATTATTCTATTACCGCAACCTTAACATCTATTTCACCCCGACCTGCTCCCAGTCTGGCCTTGTAGCTCAGCTGGTAGAGCATCGGTGTACATCCGAAGGTCGTGGGTTCGAATCCCAGCGAGGTCGGAAATTAATTTTTCCGAATTTATTCCTAAGGGACTTCTCCCGGAATTGCCTCCTTCTAAGCACTATAACTTTCTTTCATTTCTATATAAAGTGAAAATGGAATGACTGTTACAAACAATAAGCTGTAACAAAACCTTACCGCCTTTAGGAGTAACGGWTTGGTTGTCTTTCCCTCCATAGACGAGCTTGGGTGCAGGAAGAACACGCCCTTTGACTTCGACCATTTTCTTTCCGATTGTTAAACCGAAGTCTTGAACGTAATCATCTCCTTCGAAGTCTGCTTTTCTTACCTAACACACAAGAATAAATGCATTTGTTCAAGTTATTATTGCTTCAGTTAAAACCTCTATTAAGCGGCCCTCTATTTAGCGGTTACCCTCCATTAAACGGTCACTCATGAGTTCCCCATAAGTCGATTGTCATGCACATTTACTATAAAACACGACCTCTATTAAACGGTCAACCTCTATTAATCGGTCACCCAGTCTTTTTCCCATGGTGACCGCTTTATAGAGGTTCGACTGTGTGACAAACGACTAATATAACTGCATTCTGCCCTACATACCAGAGAAATGATTTCCCGCTCTCTGTCTGGCGCAGAGCGAGCCGTAGCTCGAATCATCTTTGCTGTTTGACCATCTGATAATTTCTTGATGCAACGTTGACCAGCAACAACTTTACAGACTTCRATTGGAAGATATGTATGCTTTTTTTCTTGTCCAACTTGTAAACAAGGGAGATGAGGAAAGCTATGATTAAATAAAAAAATAGGTTATTTAAAAAGTAGTGGGAACTAGCGGTAAACTAGTGTAAGCTGCGTCGGCGTTTCTGAAGAAACAGTTGTGTCGAAGGATTAACGTCCGAAACGTCAGTACGTTATTTCACCTACTTTTTTACGGTGTTAAATTTATCTTTTTATACAACTATTTAAAAAGTAACCATTTTTATACAACTATTTAAAAAGTAACCA